AACTAATCAAATCATAATTTTTTTCTGATTAATTAATTCTATATTTTTTTGAAGTAGCTAAAACCTAGCTGTTCAAAAAAAAAAAAAAAAAATCATTAAATTCTATTTGGATATGTTTTTGTGTACAGGTTGGTCGAATTCTAAAGATTTTTCTTTTCATGTATATCCTTAATTACATGCATATAGTTCTTTTGGTTGTTGACCATGAAAACTATATTTGTTATAGAAAAATTGGAAGTTATCCTATCCGCTCCATTTTATATTTGCTCAAATGAGAAAGTTTATATTTGTTCACACCAAAATTCTTCATCGCCTCAAATTTGGAAGGGATAAAAATTTTAGTTTGTTGTCTTAATTTTTAACCTAAGATCTTTTAGAAAGTTTATGCTGCATGTCAAAGATTTAAAAGTAAAATATTTTTTATCAGTATGTTATTTTTTATAATTTAATCATTAATTAACTTAATGATTTTTCTTTTTATTTACCATCTTAATTTTAGATAGATTTCTTTTTAAATTAATATTAGTTCCAACAATTTAATAATAATAATAATAATAATAATAATAATAATAATTGATATGATATAGCAATTAATAATTTTTGTGAAGTGGGTGAAAAAAAAAAAACACAGAGAGAGTATTGTTTTAGATTTTTTAGTTGGGAGTTCAATAAAGGCCCCTGTAAGCAAAATCACACCAATAGAATGCAGCTATTAATTATCGTAAGAAAAATTCAGCTAACCAATTTAATTTTCTTAAAAATTTATTTACCAAAATATTGAATGATATGAAATTCTTTACTTTGTGTTTTACGTAGAAAGGTTGACCTCTAAAAATTTAAAATCCAAACTAAATATATTCAATATGTAATTAAATATCTATTTCAATTTTAATTTGTTCGGTACCATGCACTTCCCCAGTAAAACAAAAGGCTTCAACATGTATGGCTTCAATCTACAACATCTATCTAACACTCTTCCTCTTCTAATTTGGCTCACAAACGCCTGCAAAATATAAAGGGTGGTTTTTTCCTCTTTTTCTGAACATTCATAAGGGTTAAATAGTCAAAAAAGAAGGAAAATATGTTCTAAAACTGCAGTTTTATTGTTAGGAAAATAGGTAGTGGAGTCGGATTGCAGTCAAATAATAGAAAAGATCTAAAAAAGGAGCTGTAAAAACAACAAAGTGGAAGACAAGGTTAAAGAATTGATGCTTAAATAGCAACGCTAAGATTATTATCATGAATAATTTTTTTTTTAAAGGTTGTACTTAGATTATTCTTTTCGTGGCCTGGAAAGCCTCTACCGCAAACTAAAACCCAATCAAGCAAAGCCAACCGAAAAAAAAAAAAAAGAAAGAAAGAAAAAAGGTAGAAAAACACAAGTGCCCCACAAGGCAACAATCACACGGTTAATTTTCTCGCTTCTCTCCTTTCCATTTCAGTGAAAGTGAAACTTTACTGTAGCAAATAACGTAGCTCCTACTCAAATAATAGTAAAGAAATCGTCGTTGCCCTAAAGAAGGAGAAGAAGCAAGAGAAGCAAGATCTATATTTAGTATTGAATCATAAAAAAATAATACGGTAAAATAAAGAACTGTTAAAATAAATATGGGAAGGGGAAGAGTGGAGCTGAAGAGGATCGAGAACAAGATAAATCGGCAAGTGACATTTGCTAAGAGGAGGAATGGGTTGCTTAAGAAAGCATATGAGCTATCAGTTCTTTGTGATGCTGAGGTTGCTCTCATCATTTTCTCCAACCGTGGCAAGCTCTTTGAGTTCTGCAGCAGCTCCAAGTACGTACCTCTAAATTTAATTATAAATTTATAAATATGAATTTCAAAATATGTCTTTTTTCTTTCCAGATTCTTATGATATTGTTTTGATGTTTACCTTTTTTTCCTTTTTTTTCCCCTCTTGTTCACAATAAAAGAATGCTTTAATAATTACTTTGGGGATCTTTAATTTTGGATGATGTATAAATGTTGGTCTTTCTGGTGATGGATTTTTTAAAAAAAATTTCGTGTTTTAAATTAGTATGCATAGGTTGTCTTTATATAGTTAGAGGAAGATGTTTGTTCTTTAGGCATTTTATGTCTAGATACTGATCTAAGTGTCTATTTCATGGAGATCTTGAGTCAGTAGAAGAACCCTCTTCTGCATATTTTCAAGGGATCAAAAAGTTTCAGTTCTTTTCTTTGGAGAGAGTTTTTATTTTTTTTAAGAACAAGTAATGCAATCAATTAGCTCTCTCTCTAAATATAAATGAATTTTCAGTTTCAATTATATACAAAGAATTTTAGGTGTCGTGCATCTTGGAATATCACCATGTAAATATTTAGGCAGAAGATCACAAATCGATTTTTTTTTTTTTGAAGTTTTTTTGGAAGGAAGATGTATATACGTACAATTGAGTATTGTCCGATGGTTAGATTTCATGATATATTCCTGTTCTTCAGTCTCCTGGGTGCTTTTTTACGTCTTTACCAGTCGTATTTACGTCGTTCCAGGAAATATGGGTTAAGGGTACGAGAAAAAAGACAAGCTAGCAAACCGTGATCTGTCTTAGTGCCTTGAAAGCTGCAGACTTTTTCTATGGAATTGATACTCTATGAAATGAAGAGTTTATTCCCAACTGTACATGTTGATTAGGATTAGTTAAGGTTAGGCAAGAAAGATTTAATAGAAAGGAACATTTTCCCAATTGTATGATAACGAACCAATTAGAGGAAATTTCCTAATTATATTCGATTTTAGACCAGCGTTGAATATTCCTAGCTAGCTAGTAGTGTTTTCTTTCTTTTTCTCTTTCTTGCTTCTCCTTCCCCTTCCCCTAAATTTTTATTTTCGTATATATATATACTTGTAAGTTTCTAATTTACATCCTGATACTAGATGCTGGTCAAGGTAGGTTTTATGATTTGCCCTTGTGGGTGTTGCTAAGATGATCAATTCACACTATTTAGTATAGCTAGTTTTAGTTCTGTAAATTGTTGAATTTAAAGTTCGTTATTCTACTCCTTAATGTTAAATAGGGTAAGTTTTTACATGAACTTTTTCCGGAACAAATTTTTTACATAGATTTGATTATATGAGTTTATGATTTTCATAAAACTATTTTATTTCCATTTTTTATTGTTTAGGAAAAAACAGTTAAATAAAAATGAATTAGAAAGATAGTAAATCAGATTTTTACATCTGTAAGATTCAGATATAAAATGAAATTTCAAAAACTATTAGATTAATTGGTGGAGTGGATTGCTTAAGATACACAACTAGATAATTTGGATTAAAATGTAACTTAAATGCAGTTAAACTTCGATCCATATATGTTATAAAGTTGAAAAAGTAGGATTGATCAGCCAAATCAGTAATTTTTTTTTTTTTTGTCATCCACCTAACAAGGTAACTTAAAATTTTTGGCATTCCACTGGACTCAAAGCTATTTTTTTTCTTCTAATATTTATATTTTGGCTATTTTAGTTTTCTTTCTTTCCTTTTTTTTTTTTTTCATTTCATCTGATCTTAGGTAAAGTAAATCATGCATTAATTTTATTAATTGGTTATGACGTTATATAGTATGTCTACTTTGGTGCTGTGATAGTGTCATAGCAATTCGCTAGTTTATTGTATCCACAGTATGGAGTTTTAGTAGATATGTTTTTTCAGAATGTTTACTTTTTTTAACTTTGTTTAGAACAAATGATTTAATTTGGTTTTGTAAAGAACATGTTGATTTTCAAATATGTATCAATAGTTCAACAGATGTTCCAGTTTTTTAGGATCATTTTTGTAGAACTGATATTGTAATTATTATTTTTTTCTTGTTCTTCAAGACTTGTCTTTATTAATTTTCTTCTCATATATTTTTAAATAACTGAATTAAACATACATGGAGTTAGCAATTGGTTTTACCATACGTAATTGATAAAGAAATTCAACATTAATAATGCTGACTTGTCATCACTATATTCAATATCATTGCTACTAATTGCATGTGTCTTCATATATGTGTAGATAGATAGATATGCATTTAGATTGATTAAATCACACTATAGTGACATTTGGTTCATGAAAATAGAGTGAAAATAGAGAGAAAAATAAGTTATGAATATGAGATTTAAAGAATTATCGCGTTTTTTTTTCTTGAGAAATATTAGGAATTTTACCCCTTCAAACCCCTATACTTTTCATTTTGTTTGGAAGAAAGTTATAATTGCTCAATCTAACGAGGGACATCTTACTTTTCCATGTATAAAATAAATTTCATGCAAATATTGTTCTCTTATTTAATTGTTATAAAAAAAATACCCCGATTCCGAATTATTAATACTCATATAAATGAAACTTTTAGAAACAAATGCTATATTATTTAATTTCGTTTAATTTCACATTAGTTCACGTAAAAAATGACCTTGAAGTATTATATGTTTAAAAACCACTAATGAATTATTGGTTTAGTATTTGCTTTTTAATTTTCCGATGTATTTTTTTATTTAATTTATGCCTCGACAGAGATTTTTTTTTTCTTTTTTTGAAGGATCTTAATGGGAAAGCACATTTTTTATATGGGACTGGTGTATTCATGAGATTAAATTAATATAAATGCTAGTATTAAGGCTCGAATTTAAAAAATTGAGAGAGAGAACTGTTAAAGAACAATCTCACAAAAAAACATAGTTCTTTAACAAAAACTTCATTTACCAGTAGGCCTTCATATAAGTGAAAAAGCTCCCTCAAAGATGGAACAAAATAAATAAATAAATAACATTTATTACTTGCACGGGAAATCATATTGCTTTAATTGTATGTTTTTCAGTTCATCGCTTCTGCCTGGATTGAGCCTGAATCGGGGATCTGTTGCAACTAATTGACTCCTTTTCGTTCATTAACATCTATTTATGTCATATGTTTTTTGCGTTGGTTCCAGCATCGCCAAGACAATCGAGAAATATCAAAGATGTAGTCATGGAGCACTGGAAGTGGGACAATCTGAAAGGGAGATGCAGGTAACTCAATCTCTTCTCTTTTTTGTCAATTTTCTAAGGTCAAGTTCAGGTCTTCTGATGTAACATAGTAGTGTCTGTCACTGGAAAGTGCATGGGTGTCCGAGTCAGCTTAATTTGATAACATTTCAATTAAGTCCCATGGATTTCTGATTATCTAACCATCAGTCCCCTACACTACTGATATTAAATCCAGAGTTGTTAAGTAGGCTGTAGGGTTCTTGTTTGGTGTTGCTCATCTACGAGCCTAGCAAAGGGAAAAGGGGAAATGTCCAACAGTTTGACAAACCCAGCTGTTATCTTACTCTCCCTAATTTATAGCATTTTCCTGGCAACTTTATGTGCTGTACAACTAAGTTTGACTGCTGCAATGTTGTCAAGCAGAACAAATACCAGGAATACTTGAAGCTAAAAGGAAGAGTCGATGGGCTACAGCGTTCACAAAGGTAATAATACACCCGATGCCTGTTCACTCAAAAACTTGGATGCCAGAGTGATTTATATATATATATATATATATTAAGGTTATACTTTTAGGATTTTGCTTGAAATCATAAATTTTTGGAAGGCAATCTGCATAGGTATTGTTTATATTACTCACGTTATGTATATGAAACTTTACTTTGCATTTGTAGGAATCTTCTTGGGGAGGATTTAGGGAATTTGGACACAAAGGAGCTTGACCAGCTTGAGAATCAGCTTGACTCGTCACTGAAGCAAATCAGGTGTAGAAAGGTATCTAATATGTATAATCACTAACATTATACCGGAATTATTACTCCTATAAATTTTGCTTTAAAGCACGCCTATACCAGCATATATATCAAGTTTTTTATGATCCCCAAGTAATTCCGTTAATTAGTACAAATTTCATTTTGTGTTTTTAATTATTTAATTTCAAGTTATCTATACCAAAATAAACAGTTGCTCAATCTACACAAACACACGCGCGCGCGCATACTTCTTTTAATTTGGGAATTCATTATTTCTGCAGACCCAATTTATACTGGATCAACTTTCTGAACTTCAAAGGAAGGTAAACATGCCTAGATTTATTATGACCTGACACTTTTGTGCCCCAGCTGGATGTGGGGTTCATATTTTATGTTTTTTTTTTTTTTTTTTTTCAGGAAAAACAGCTACTAGAAACCAATAATGCATTAAAAAGGAAGGTACAGCCTTGATTATGCTTCATGTGTTGTGCTAATACACAATTAATTTGTAAAAGCAAATGTTTGTGATCTGCCAGTTCTTGTGAATCTTGGAACAAATATACTTCTGTAGCTGCCTGGCCGGGATGTTGAACCAGAAACCTCTGCATTTACTCATTTCATGATCTTGCATCTTGCAGAACTTGCAATTTCACACACACATGTGGTGCATGCACAAACAGTAGCCCACGTATGCCTGAATTCTGATAACCTTTTAAATGAACTTTTTAGCTTCACCCATTTAATTAGTGTCTGAAATCCAGATGCTGGATATACAGTTGGAAGAAACTACCGTAGCAATTCGATCGCCATGGAAAGTTGGACAGCAACGTGTTCCATACAGCTGCCAACCCGCTCAGCCAGATGATTTTGTCGACCCTTTGCAATACAGTAGTAGTTTGCAGATTGGGTATGTAAATTCCTGCTAGCAGTGCATGATTTTAAATGGAAACCATTTTGTTAATTTGTTCCTCTCCGGCAAATTTTCCTCTTTCAATGAGCTTTCCCTTTTGTGTTGCAGCTACGATCCAGTGGAAACAGATCAAGTGACTCTTACAAACACAAGTCAAAATGTCAATGGATTCATTCCAGGGTGGATGCAATAATTTTTTAAACTCCGAGAAGTTCAAGAATTTGTCATCGGACCTAAAAATGAACTGAATAAGCAACTCTTGTGTGATGGTTCAACTTCCGGCTCATCCTGTAACTGACAGATGTATAAACGGTTGTGCAATAAGTCGCCTGCAACAAACAATAATATGTGTTCTATTTACTTGATAACATGAACCAAGTTTTCTTTATTATGATTTGTTTGATAACCCTCTAAAAAAAAATCTAGTCCCAGGCATGCCATTTGGAAGGTATGGAGTCTCATTTTAAAGTTTGATCACTTATGGTTTCTGCTTCATTTATAGTTAGTTTAGTTTTAGGTTGTCTGGGAAAGAGGTGAATGGAGGTAAAAGGAAGGTGGGGAGTGGCGATTGATAACACCTTAACTTAACTTTGTTTGGAAAGAAATAGCTTCATAATTTTTTTGACATTAATTTACTATTTTAATTTTACTTATTTTTTAAAAATTTAATTTTATACTTTTAATAAATAAATTATTCCAATATTATTTGTCACTAAAAGGACACTAATGGCATTTAGGATGCATTTGGGAAGCTTTGGTTTTTAGCTATGGTTGCATGTGACGGTTATACTTGTAAAACAGTATATGATAATAAGTGTTGTTAAAATACTTTATGTTATATGAAATTTAAAATTCCAAAAGTTTTATTTTGTAGCTTCTCACTTTTGACTTCTAAATAGTTTTCAAATATTTTTTTTAATTTTTTTTTTACCAAACATGCTTTTCAATGGTATTTGAAGAAAAACCCCAAAAACTCAAGTTCCATAAAAGGCAATTAATATTTATTAATTTCCATTCTATTTTCTATCCATATATATATATATATATATCTCAAAGAATGGTACATATAATGGGGTTGTTTTTCAAAAGGCGCCGTTATCGGAGAATTACGTTTGATCAATTTTTTTTTTATTCTGATTGTTTTTAGTGTTTAAATTGTCAATTTTATTGTTAGTTGTTCAATAGATTCTTATTTTTTCACAATCTTTTATGTAATTTATAGTTTTAATTTTTTTCTTGGTTGTTATAATTCACAATGACTTTTGGTGTTGAATTAGGTGATGCATCCTAAATTAATTTTTGAGAAAACGACATTTTGCACAAGATTAGTGGAGCATTCGACACGCTACCAAAATTGGCATTGTTGTCGAAAAATTGTGTCCGATTAATTTTTTTAGTTTGATTTTTTTATGTGTTTAAATTGTCAATTTTATTATTAGTTATTCAATAGATTTTGATTTTTTTTACTATCTTTTGCGTAATTTGTAGTTTTAATTTTTTTCGATCTTTAACTTTTACTATTCACAATGACTTTTGCAATTTAATTAGGTTACACACCCTAAATTAATTTTTAGGAAAACAACATTTTGTACGGGATTAGTGGAACATTCAGCACACTACCATGATTGGTGTCATTGCCGGAGAATTAAATTTGATCAATTTTTTTTTATTCTGGTTGTTTTCAAGTGTTTAAGTTGTCAATTTTATTATTAGTTATTCAATGGATTTTGATATTTTATTATCTTTCGTCTAATTTTTAGTTTTAATTTTTTTTTCGACTGTTATTATTCATTGTAACTTTTACGATTGAATTAGGTGACACACCCTAAATTAATTTTTAGAGAAACGACATTTCACACATGACTAGTGGAGCATTTGGCATGCTGTCAAAATTGACGTTATTGTCGGAGAATTGAGTCCGATCATTTTTTTTTATTCTAATTGCTTTTATGTGTTTAAGTTGTCAATTGTATTATTAGTTATTCAATATGTTCTGATTTTTTACTATTTCTTTTTTTGCGTAATTTGTTTTTATGTTTTGGGGAATTTGATTTAAGCAATAGCTTTAGACAGAGAGATATATAGCATAGCACCATTGAGTTTAGTTGGCATAAAGATACTAATTAGGTTCAAATTATTGACTTTTAAGGAAAGTGCTTAACTAGTGGCCAAAAGTGATATTAATTTCCATTAGTGGTCACAAAGCTTAAAGAAAGATAAGAATGGTGAAAATAACATTTATATTAACAAGATAATTAGTTTCAACATGCATAATCTTTCCAAAAACAGATAATTCAACTTTTTGAAAGATGTGACACCATACTTCTTGATTTTTTTTCTCGGCACGATTGTCTCTTGCACATTCGTTGATTGTTGAATTTTGTTCTCGATGACATTCCAAGCATCAATATACTCAAATAAAAATTGAATCTTAATTTTCCAATGTTCAAATTATTTTTGCCATCAAATTTGAATACGAAACAATCTACAAAACTTGTATTAAAATCTATGTTTTTAATTAAATAGCTACGCTAAGGACAAAGACTTCTTTTGAAGAACCCTAACCCACATAAGACTACTCCCAACAAAAACAAGTAAATTATAAATTATTCCTTCACGTTTCACGTTTCCTAAAACAAATTAATTAGTCTCTCTTTGCAAAAATTTATTATTTAGTTCTTTTAACCAAGGTTGATCATGACTAATTTAATATTTTTTTATTTTATAAAATGTTTTCTTTTCTCATTAATCTTTTCAGACTTTAATTAATTAATTATTTATTTCTTAAAATAAAAAATCAAAATAAAATAAAAAATTATTAGAGACTAATATAAATTATATTCGGAACCTCACATTTCAGCTTAAGCTTTTAGGTGAGATGGTCCTTTAATAAAAATAACAAAAAAAATAATAATAAGTATTTAGTTTTTAAAACCATAAAAGATAAATAATTTGTTTTTCGGAGCAAGAAGGACTAATTAGTGATTTACTCCAATAAAAACAAACAAGCAAGCCTTTTTTCTTTTTCTTTTTTTCTTTTTTTAATTTTTGCAGACACATACTACAAACTGAAGTAGTATGTAGGTTTCTAACCGACCTGTAAGTCCTCAATTATTAAGGACTTCTATTGCCGACTCAACCTTGACCAATATTTACTATATGGACTGGTCTTGGTGTAACTTACAACAGAGACCCTTCAAAAAAATTTGTCATGATAATTGGTGTATGCGCACCATGAGAAGGAAATGGAGAGGATGGTGAGAACAAATCAACCCCGGCCCTAGGCACCGTCCAAGCGAACCATGTCCCCTCTGAGGACTTGATGCACTTCCTTCTCATACATATATGTATGAAAACTCGCACCTCAAGAGAGAGACCTATGAAAGAACACGATACCAAAAATAAATAAATGTACATACCAACTCTGCAAGAAAATTAAAGTGTAGCACAAATCCCCTCACTCCCTCCCTAAGAAAGATTGCGTCCACCTGCCTAGGAGTAAGCAAGTGCATAACACTCTTATACATCTTCTCGTGCACACTACGCTCGTTACCGGGGCTTGGTCTTTTATACAAGCATGTACGCCTTTTTCTATTTTTCTTTGAAGACATCTCTAAATCTACGCTCACAGTGAACCGATATCAAGCCTAGCTCTCGATCTTTCCTTTTGTGAATTTAAGGTGATTACATAAACTTTATTTTACAAAAACTTTTATTATCATGTATTGGACTTAATTACAATTACTAATCAATCATTCACACAAATACTCCTAAATGCAGTTATATTCGATGAATTTTCACTGCACAACTATTAGCTTAACAAATTATTATTGTGAAAAACAACATGAAAAAGCATTACTCTCACAAACGACATACACCAAAAAAGTCTACTTCTCAAGATTTATTCCACTGCTCCTACGTACATTCTATTAATATTGAAGACAAGTCTAAACTAGCCATAACATAACATATTCTATTTATACTAGCAATAAGATCCTTCTCATTTGATAAAGAATTTTTCCTTCATTAATTAGGTAAAATATATACCGTCCAACTTCAATAAGAAAGAAAAAAACCTCTTTTTTCTAAACAAAATATGTCGATACATTCCATTCTTATTTAGGATATGTAATCAGATTCAATCTCACATATGTAATAAGACTACAATAATATATCATGTAATTGCCAAATAAGATTATGACGTCTCATCTCTCATATGAATTAGATAAAAAGAAATAGATAAATAGACTTATATGTAACAAGAAATTCTTTTTGAACAGTGAAGACAATTAAACCCAACTCTTGTAGGCTCAGATGTTGTTCAGTTGCGCACCAAATCCTTCCTCCGAGCTTGGGCCATGAGAGAGGGTTAATTTATCATTGCTGTATAATGCTCTACTAAATTTTAATCTCCTTCTCAAACACTTAATTAATATCATAATTAATCAAGTTTTACTTTTCGAGTTATTCACACAAATTTCACCCTTTTTTTCGTAATCTGAAATGCAATCATGGTAAAGCCACAATGAGTTGATCGTGGAGCATTCAATTTGTAATAAAAAAAGCTTCTCGTGCAATATGCATGAGTATATAATTTTTCTTTTACAGTCTTCTTGATTTTTCAATTCTTGTCGACCAATTCAATGAGGTCAGCTCTGCGCCCTGTTTATGGAAAACGGTGGTGTCCTCCCGTAAACAACCTACCAGGAATTTGTTGCTAATTTCATGTCTCGAAGAAATTCGTCAATCATATGATAATGACTTAATTAGTGTTAGCAAAATCTCCGCCGTCAATACGAAAGAGTGAGTGTGGGTGGACCGAACCCAACAATACAAAACTGATGCTTCTTCCAATGAGTACATGATAGCCTCGACTTTTTCCAGTAAAAGAAAACAAAAGGACAAGGAAAAAAAAAGAAGAAGGTGGGCCTGCATAGGCAATTGAGTCCTCAGCTAGCCAGGACAGTCCAGATCCAATGAGAACTCGACAACTCGAAATCTAAAACCACTCTGGTTTTGCCCTTTCCTGCCCACTGTACTGGACACCACTATAAATTCACCATCTAGATCATCCCATTTTTTACGCCCTACATATTTTCATGCTTTCTTAGGATACTTCACCACTTATAATTTCCTCTCTCTTTCTTTTTCGTTTGGGTTCAGGTTTGGTGTTTTTTAGGTTTTTTCTTGGGTTATTTTGAGGGGAAAAAAAAGAAGAGAAAAGGTTAAAGACATTTATAGAGAGAAAGAAAGAAAGGGAGACAGGAAGAGATGGGAAGAGGTCGGGTTCAGATGAAGAGGATAGAGAACAAGATCAACCGGCAGGTAACATTTTCGAAAAGGAGAGCTGGGTTGTTGAAGAAAGCTCATGAGATCTCAATCCTGTGTGACGCTGAGGTTGCTTTGATTGTCTTCTCTCATAAAGGGAAGCTCTTTGAATACTCCACTGATGCTTGGTACTAAATCCACTTCTCTTTTTTTCTTATATATATTTCCTAATTAGGTTTCTCGCTCTCTCTCTTTCATCGGAGTTTTTTTGTTGTTTTTTTTTGTTGTCCTTTTTTATGATAATCGAGAATTTATTGAAAAAGCGAGAAAAGCCAGTGGCAGAGGCCATAAAGGGAGTGGTCTGCTGCGAAAAAAAAGAAAAAGAAAAAGAAATCAAGTTAAATACGGAAAAAGACTTGAACACTGCAGAAAAGAAAGAAAACACAACTAAAAATCAAACTACATCCAGGCTAAAGACTCACTGAAGCCTATTAACCCACAACTTAATTCCAACCGAGCTTCGCGGAAGATCCATTGCAGTATACAAAAAGTCCTCCTTCCAAGCTTTCACCTAATGACCTGCCCGATGTATAGAAAATCAAGTAGCGAGTATCCTCCCATACAGTAACGTTTCCTTGGAAAAAAAATGCACTCGGACCACAAAGTTGTATACAAGATCAGAAACCCAAAATTCCTCTGAAATTTTCCTTTTCTTTCTTTGACATGACTTGGTCTATAACCTCTCTCTAACTTCTGATTTTTAAAATATTTTATTTGGCTGCTTTTTCCTTAGAAACTCTTGATCTTTGTCTCCTCGACATTTTCTTGGCTAAGCCACTATTGAAGCTATACATATCACTTGATTTTGCTTCTTCGTACATAAAATTTGATATATATGCAGATAGGATTTATTAATATGACTAAGATAACTTTACTATTGCTTTTTTCTTATTTACTTAATAATTATATGTTTTTATATATATATATATATATAGTGTATAGATGGAGTCATTTCATGCAGAGTTATCTCGTAATGTGTTACTTTATACATCAAAACAACTATAAGCATATGCTTCATGGGTCATTGAACTCTTGCCCAGATTGATGTTGATGGCTTCATATATCTCACTGGAGGAGTACTACGCCCTATCATTTACGACAGTTTTTCAGTTTAAGGTGCAACATTCCAGGATAAAACATGATATCTTATATATTGATTTAATTTGTTATACAAAAATTATAAAGGAGAAATCATATAAGGGGATTTCTGTCTTTGTGTTAGTTAATGCGACTCTGACTGTGACTGTCACCTAATCTTCTCGTCATTTCTTTATTTTTTACTTCATAATTTTCTCTTCAACCTTTTTTTCCTGTTACACTTGATGTTTTCTTTCAGAGTAAGCTCTGGCCCCTGTTATAATTTGATTATGTAGGCGTCCACACTTGGGGAAAATATGGAGATTAAGGGAATCGAGATTGAGCCTAAGTTGTCGTCTCTGTTTTTGCCTGTACCGGTGTCAGGTTTGCAAACCCTAGAATGAATGAGGAAAACATGTAATATTGGATGGGGATTAAGCAGGTCATGTTTTTAAGAGTACAGAAATATTATAGTATATAAATTGCACGATGTCTTTTTTGACAAATTAATTGGAGAAATAGATCTATATCAATAGCACAAGTTGGCTTAAGATTACTATTTTCTACATAAATTAAAAAAACAATGGATCTCAATACTACTTCATGGAGTACAAAGGTTATATATAGCATCGGAACTTGAAATGCATATTTTGGAGAGTTTTATAAATTAATAATCCAAAAACATATTTCATAACCCATTGAAAAAGGAAAAAGAATTATTAGGGAGAGATAATTAACTCCACTTGCAACCAGGATTGCCGTACTGTCTGTGTCTGTGTTTGTCTGTGTCAAAGAAAGGGTAGAGAGGAAGATTAGGGGATATGAGAGAACACTTTCTAGAGAGAGGATTACAAAAAATAAAAAAATACGGTACAAAAATTTTCTTAAGAGTCTCTCTCTCTCTCTCTCTGCTCTCGTCTCTCTCTCTCTCTCTCTCTCTCTCTCTCTCTATATATATATATATATATATATATATATATATCATGTTGTTTGTTCTTTCTTTGTCCTAAAGAAATTGTTTTTTTTTAATTTTGTAAATAACTATTTCATTCATGTCGAATATTTTTATATTATTGTTTAACATATTTTCTTCTTTTTTATTTTGTGAAATGACTATCTCAACTCTGTCTTAAAGAAATTATGTTTCTTTTTATTTTATCAAATACTTTTATATTATTATTTAATACACTTATTCAAGTGAAGACTCAACATTGTATTGCGCTTAATTAGAAGAAATAGTAGCATTCAAATTCTTAATTGTTTAGTTAGCAAATCTCTCTCACCATGTCAAATGACATTCTCAATCCAAAAGACTAAATTATAAATTAATCCCTCTTTTTTTTTAAAAAAAAAACAAATTATTTAGTCCACAACTAATGTTGACTACGACTAATTTAATATTTTTTATATAAAATATCTTATTTTCTCATCAATAGTTTTTTATTTTTTTAAAAATTAAATTTAAAAACAATGACTAAATGATTAGGTTTTGAAACTAGATAACTAATTATTATTTTTTTCAAAACAAAAGGAACTAATTTATAATTTATTCTAATCCAAAAATTTAAGCTATTAGATGAAGCTTCGAAATGATTTTATATTACTATTTAATATATTTGTATATCTTTCAAAATACTTGTCCGGGAAAAATTTTAAATAATGTTTATTTTTTAAAATACTCTAATTGATAAAGAAAATCAATTCTTTCTTCAATTTTTTTTCTTTTATTAACTAAAAAAAATTAATATTTTTTATTCTTTTTCTTTATATATACAAATACATTTAACATAAAATTTTCAGAGGAAAATTTTGTTATATGAAAAATATTCGTTCTTACAAAGAATTTATTGCATGCTAGAATTTCAGGAATAAAATATTTCTACTAGTATGATATTGTTTTATAATTGTATTAAACTTAGATTGTTGATTAGCTTAATTATGTTTTTCTTTGATTTACCTCTTTAATTTTAGGTAGATTTTCTTGTTAAATTAATATTGATTCTATGTTAAGTAAAACTAAATTTAATAACTAAATTTTTTTTTAAAAAATGATATTTTAGAAAAGTATGAATAAAAAATGCTGTGTGAAGCTATGAATAAAAAATGCTGTGTGAAAAGTTAAAAAGTTAAAGGAGATAATTTTTTTTGAAACAAAGGAGTACAGGTTTCCACCCTGTCTTCTATATAATTGCTTGCTCGTAGTAATGGAGTTAAAAGGTTTTATGTACCGGTATTATTTAGCCTAGCTAAGACTGGTAAGCATACCAATAATTATCTAAGACTCGTTTCTGGGTCAAGGAACTCAACACGTGTAAAGTTTAAATCTCCAATGATACTAGGTTGCGTTGCATTTCAAAACTTTCCCGTGATTTAAGGGGAAACCCTATCATAGGCGGCTATATCCCCAACCCATAAGATTCCTAGAAATCCGTGGACTAATGAACTTCACGTCAAGGCTTTATGTCAAATGACATGGATTCAATGATGAGACGAGCGTTTAAATCGCAAAATCAAGCAATCACTTAATCAGCTCGGTGGGGTTGGTTGAATTGCTTCTTGCTTCCTGCATAATGCTTGATTTTTGTGCAAGGCTTTCTTGGTCTGGGAATTTTCTATTTCCTATTTTTGTTTGATACGCGTTTTATGTTTGGAAGCATGCTTCGATGACACTTGTTACTCATGATGAAGTTTTTGCATATATTTCTTTAGCCTTGTACGGAGAGCTATATTGATGGTTTACTAGCTTCTATATGATCCAACATCATTATGATATAATGAAAATATTGCCAGTTGTAAGTTTCTCTTGTCAATATGTGAAATCCTATTCTTGTCACCTGTTTGCCCCTGTTGAGGTAGAAGATATGCATCTAAAGATATCGAAGATGATGCCCAAATCTCTAGATATGCATCAATTGACGGTTGAAAGAATTAGTATGAGTGGATGTTCTTCCATCATAGATACGACCCGCGGAAAAGAAGACTTGGAAATTTCTATTCGCAATTTATCGTATACTGTCAACATGTCTCTTCGAAAATTTTGTGGCAATTCGCACATTAAGCGCATATATATATACACACACACACACACTAAGAGTATCATCTTGTTTTGTAACAGCATGGAGAAGATACTTGAACGCTACGAGAGAGAGTCTTATGCTGAGAGACAACCAGTTGCAACTGATTTCGATTCACAGGTAGGGCCTTATTATTTCATCAGAGTTGTGATTTTCTCATCTTGCATTTCTGCACTTTAATTTCTACTATTGATTTGAATTGAAATTCTTAAGGTAAATTAATGTACAGTCAAATTTAAGTGAGGTAAGTCAGGTTTAATACTAAGTTTAACTTAATTCGCAGGGGAACTGGACCCTGGAGTATAACAGGCTCAAGGCAAAGGTTGAACTTCTACAAAGAAACCGCGGGTAAATAACTTTATTGCCTGCATTTATTTCCGAGTTTTTCTTAAAAAATGTTTGAGATGCATAACCATTTGTCAATCTCAAACCTCACTAGGCACTATTTGGGGGAAGATCTGGAATCCTTGAGTCTCAAAGAACTACAAAACTTAGAGCAACAGATTGATAACGCCCTTAAACACATTCGGGCAAGAAAAGTATGCTACACTGTTACATACTTTTGTCTACTTGCTTTATGTCAGCTGCACTAATGTGTTTTCTCTTTTACAGAATCATCTAATGTGTCAGTCAATTTCTGAGCTGCAGCGAAAGGTAAGCCCTTTTAACGTATTTGTCTTGGTTACATGCTGTTTGGATGAGTTGTTGCTAGAGGTGTCTTTGTACAAACTTATGGTTTAAATGTCCACGGTATCAGACACTAATTCATCCAAGATCGTCAAGAACCTGACTTATTCCCTTTTTCATTTTGAAGTCATCCCATCAGCTGTTATTAGAAATGAGTCTCCCGTGAACATGGGAAGATGAGAGCCCTACGTTAATGTAATATTAAATGATTTTTCCGGTTCATAACAACATAAGTATTAAAAGGAAGGGGCCAAGAGGATTGACTTGAAAGGAACAGGCTATAGTCGTTTAAATAAATATTCTCGCATTGTGCTATATATGCTTGCAACGGGGCTAAGCTACGTACACCTTTATTTATTTTATTTAACCTGTCTAATGGAAGCGAAAAGGTGATATTTAAGCAGGATAAGTGCTTTTGAAGAATAAATTAAGGAAATTGAATTTGTTCTTCTCTCTTTCTCTATAATTTGCTTATGACTTATGCCAGTTTAATTTCTCAACATTCCTATCTGATTTATGACAGGAGAAGGCAATTCAAGAGCAAAATAACATATTAGTGAAGCAGGTGGCTTTCCTTTATTGTCCAATGACTCGCAAATTTCAGTTTCATTCTTTCCAATGTGCACTATATGCATTTCATCTTGCTCAGCAAGTAGCATATATAGCAATTTTCATTTTGTTGAATAGCAGGTGATTTATTCCCTCGTATGATTTTTGGAAATATATAGATCAAGGAGAAGGAGAAGGAGAAGGAGAAAGCACTGGCACAGCCGGCACTCTGGGATCAGCAAAATCATGGCCCTGATGCTTCCTCATTCCTTTTACCACAGCCGCCACTGCCTTGCTTAAACATCGGGTATCCATCTCTTGCACTGCTATAGTAGCTATAGGGTTCAACTCGCATGAGATAATTTCTTGTCATTTGCATCCCGATATCTTTTTCCTCTAGATGCATTCACCAATCGACACTTAAGATAACAAGATTAATGTCAAAACGTACTTAAAACACTTGAAAATGAAGAAATATCAAATAAGACATAAACTATATTAAGGACATTACTGAAAATGTAGCTATAAAATACGTGTATAACGGCGTTTTTCACTAGAATTTCAAGGAAAGCCAATTTCGTTGCCTTGATTTTTTATTTTATTTTTATTTTTAATTTCATAGATGATAAAACACCTAAAAAACGGGATGAAATCTATAGAGATAGCTAGCAAATCCCCTAATACATAGTTTGTGTGTAACCTAACTTAAGCATCACATGCATTACCAATTCTCTAGCACAGAAATAGTACTAAAAAAATTCAGAACGCCTGCCAGCCAAAAATTTAGTTTGCCTGAACGACTGTGTATGTCAAGTAATTGCCAAACAATCAAAAGACCTCCATGTAAATATTCTTCCATTTGATTGACTGTAATTACGTTATTTAGGAGGTTGTAAGCATAATTTCTTGGAATTATGCATTAGAGTCTGGATGTGGATTGTCTGTTTACAATCCAATCAAGAAAGAACGTAATCTCAGTATGTAATAATAGCTAGTATGGAAATACCCTTACAGCCGAAAGAAAATAATAAGAATAATAATACAAGAATTAATGGGATTTGATATATATGTGTACTAAAAGTTGGAACTAAAGTTAAATCATTCACATTTGATATGACTATTTTTTTATCTGCGAAATCTCTGTGCTATAATTTCTGAGATGAAAGGTTATTTGCATTTCACCATTAATTGAAATGATATTCCAATTACTCCCAACCGAAGATTAAAAAGCTAGCTGAACATCACTGTTTATTTACTAATATTTATTGTATGTGTTCAGTGATTTCAAATCTATTAAGGATGGAAGAGCACTAAATTTTTATATATATGCTAAATGATCTGATGCAGTGGCAGTTACCAGGAAGAAACTCCAAACGGGAGGAGGAATGAACTTGACCTTACGCTGGAACCAAATATTTATTCTTGTCACCTTGGATGCTTTGGAACATGAAGAAAGACAATCGAAAGCTCTGGTGCTGAAGAAAGCTCTGGTGCTGAAGCTTTTGAGTGGTGTTGAAATTAGGTTTTATATATTATGTATGTATTGTTGTTAGAATTATATATTCATATATAGCCTTATATGTGATCACATATCAGTCATTAGTATAACATCCGTTTTGATGGTAATAATCAATTACATTATATGTTGCGATGTTAATTCGGATGTTTCAAGTTATTGTTGTTAAAGGTTGCATTTGAATTATGTTGATTTGGAATGCCAATATCAAAATGATTATTGGGGTATTTGATTTATATATATGACCTCCATTATTCTAGTGTTCAGGTGGAAATATCCTTTTCCCCAAACAGTGATACTCCTGTTTGATTTTTCAAAGAAATAAGAAGTCGAGGGATTCTAAAAGTATAGAGACAGAGAACTAGATACTTGTTTGACGTTTTAGTATCAAAAGTAGTTACTAGCTAGTAACTAGCAAATGATGGCGATCCATGAACATGGATGAAGAAGCTGTTCCGAATTAGGAAATTAATGAAAGCCCTGCCCCATTGATGATTCTCATTTCTTGGTCGTGTGTGCTTTTGCGCTAGAATTTGCCGGCAGATGAAGCTTATCCCAATTGTACTTATTAAAAAAAAACCTTTTTTTATTTTGGTTATTTATTATGAAGCAGCTAATTTCTTTTTCCTTTTTTTCTAATAGTAACGATGTATTTAAATCTCTCAGTTTTTTATACCTAGACTAAATTTCTACCCTATTAATTTTTAACTAAATAATTCATTCATTTGAATTGATATATCTAAAAAAAATTTCTCCTTTAATCTATTATCAAATCTGAATCCAAGATAAAAACGTAAGAAGTAATTATTATTGGGTTAAGTCACTCCTTATATGGAGAAAAGCCTAATAATTCGGGCCCAAAACATAAATAAGTTTTGGTTACCGCTTGAAGTGTCGGTATAAAAACATCAAAGAAAATAAGGGATATATGTGAAAGAGAGCAAATAAGAGAAAGCGAGAAAATCTGAATTTTGTGGAAGGCTGCAGCAGTTTCATCAAACCGACGATCGGATACCGATTTGTGTTGCGATTGACCTAAAATTTTTGATAGCATACTCGTGACTCACGCTTCTTCAATCTAAATGATCGGATTATCAATTAGAGCTCCTACATTAGGTTTTTAGACATGAACAGTAACTCTGTTTGGGGAAATTTATTGCTATTGATTTCTTTCATAGTTTGTTATTCCAAGATTGTTATTCTTGATGATAATGTTGATTATTGCCTCTAAATAGAGCTAGAGAAGAATTTTTGGAAACCATTATTTAATTCATGGTGGATTTTTTGGTAGACTATGGTCTACTTGTTTTTACTCCTTCCATCGAAAGGTTTTCATGTTAAAATTGGCTCACATTTATGTGTGATTGGTGGTGTGTTATTTGAATTTCTATATTGCTTTACGTTATTGTTTTCTATTAGATTTACACAAGAGTTGGGAGAATATTATTTTGTCTGGTTAGCTCGATATTTTTTCGGTTGTTATTGTTTTTCTCCCATCAAAATGGTATCAAAGCCGCATTGTTGCTTAAAGCTTTTTATTGCCTTGTCTTAAATAATAGAAACTAATACAACTAGAATGGTTAAATTGAATGGTTCGAATTATCATGTTAACTTGGCAAGGGAAAATGGAAGATCTTTTTTATGTGAAGATTATTATTTACTAGTGTTTTCTAAGGAGAAACCCGAGAATAAAACCGATGTCAAATGGAATATATTTCATTGTCAAATATGTTGTTATATTAGGCAATGGGTGAATGATAATGTTTTGAATCACGTTATCGAACACATGCATGTTGTTTGTGAAATAAACTTATGCAATTGTATGCTCAAAAGACAAGGAATAATAAATTATTTCTAATAAAATAGATGATGGCTTTGAGATATCAAGATAGAACTCCTTTGACTGATCATTTAAATATTTTTCAAGTGATTATTAATCAAGTGGCTATAATGGGTATCAAGTTTAATGACAAAATGTAAGGGTTATGGTTGCTTGGCACTCTCTCAAACTCGTAGGAGACGTTTTGAACATCCTTATCTAACTCAACCCTAGATGGTAAGATGTCCATAAATGTTGCTAAGAGTGGTGTCTTAAATGAGGAGATGAGAAGAAAGACACAAGGATCATTCTCATACTACGATACCTTAATTGTTGAAAAAAGGGAAGAAGTTACACTTAAAGTTTGAAGAATAAAGATAAAAGCGAGAGATAAAAGTAGAGAAAAATCTAATAAATTTAATGTTGGGTGTCATTATTACCATCAAAAGAGACATATCAAGAAGTATTGTTATTAGGTAAAGAGAGATAACAAGAAAGAGAAAGGTAAAGAGAAAAGAATGAAGAAAATAGTGATGACAATCTTATTATTAGACTCTTAGAAGACTTTCTCATTGTCTTCAATGGTGATCCTATGAATCTTGCATCTCATGAGATCAGTTAGGTGATTGATAGTGATGCATCTATTCATATAACATCTCATAGGAATTTTTATACATCTTATAGATTTGGTGACTTTGAATTTGTTAAGATCGATAACAATGGATCGGCTAAAGTTGTAAGCATTGGAGATGTGTGTTTAGAGACCAATAATAGTATAAGGTTAGTTTGATATTCATTTGAATTTGATCTCTACATGTAAGCTTGATGATGAAGGATATTGAAACATATTCGAGTGATGGTCAATGGAAGTTCACTAAAGGTTTTTAGGGTAAAATTAAATTATGGTACAAAAGGCTTAGTCATATTAGTGATAAAGGGTTAGTAGTTTTGGCCAAAAGAAAAAAAGCTCATTTTAGGAATGAAAAATAAACCATTTAACAAGTGTCATTATTACTTGGCTAAAAAACAAAATAGAGTTGTATTTAAAAGTTTCTCTCTTTCAAAAAGGCTACATATACTCAATTTAGTGCACTCGATGTTTGTGGTCCTATAAAGACAAAACACTTGGTGATTCCCTTTATTTTGTTACCTTCATAAAAGATCACTCAAGAAAGCTTTGGGTTTAGACCTTGAAGACTAAAAACCAAGTGTTAGATGTTTTTAAACGGTTTCGGGCTTCAGTTGAGAGACAGATCGAAAAGAAGTTAAAATACATCGAATTGACAATAAGGGAAAGTACATTGGACCTTTTAGTGAATATTGCAGACAACAAGATATTCAACATTAAAAGACACCTTTCTAGACTCCTCGATTAAATGGATTAGTTGAAAGAATAAATAAGAGATTGATTGAAAGAATGAGATGTCTACTTTCATAAGCATAAATACCTCGATCCTTTTAGAGGTGAACCTTTAAGTACAATTATACATGTATTAAATATTAGTCCATGTGTTCCTTTAGAGCTTGATGTTCCTAATAGAGTGAGGACAGGTAAAAACATTTCTTATGACCATTTACGTATCTTTAAGTGTAAGAAATTTGTGCATATTCCTAAAGATAAGAGATCCAAACTTGATATGAAAACACGACAAATCATATTCATTGGCTATAGGTAAGATGAGTTTGGCTATAAGTTTTATGATCCAAGTTGAGAAGAAACTTGTAAGAAATAGAGATGTTATGTTTATGGAAGACCAAACAATACAAGATATTGAGAAATCATAAATTAACTACCTCGGAGTTAGCGATGATCCTATTGATTTAGACCCATTCGCTTCTACACATATTGCTACACAAGTTGAAAAAGCCATCATGCCTCAAATGAAGGAGAGAGATCATATGTTCTAGAACATTTGGATGTTGATGATACGGTTCATGAACCAAAGGTTCTAATCGGAAGATATGTTAGAGATCGATGACTTTTCACTAGATATTCT